GAGCCATAGGAAAGAGAGGAAGAGGGGAGGAAAATGGCGGCTGGGATCCGCCTACCTGGTGTTCCCAGCCCGTCCTAGCTTGTCTTCCTCCTCTCCCTTTTCTTCGTCCTCCGTTCCGCCCGTCTTATTTCTCCCTCGCTCCCCCCGGTGCTTGGGTGGCTCCTCATGCTCTGCCTGCCAGCCTCTCCCGAGGGGCTCCCACCTCACCTCCATTTCTCTCTTCTCCAATTTCCGCCCCCACTTTCCTCCATGTTGCCACTCATCCTGAGGCGGGCTCTGGGGTTATCCCCTGCTAATGCTCTGTGTATCAGTCTCTTGCTTGTCTGGCTCCCCCTTTTCTTGGCATTGCCGTGCTTATCTTCGTGTTGTCCCATTCCAGCTCTCCTCTGTCTCCATCCTGCCGTGTGGCCTGTGTGTGCTTCCCGTACCCTGTTTCGTTCTCGGTGCTACAGCTTCCCTCCTTGTGCTCGAAGCTAGGATGCTAGAACCTGCCCCACTTCACAACGACATTTATGCCCTGCTGTTATTCAAACCCGGTCTCTTTCTTTGTACATGATATTATTTTTCCTCTACTGAGATACATTCTTTATTTCTTTCATAGCCTTCCCCAGCTGGAATAGTGTACTATTCCTCTCTGTGATGCTCGTTTTTGTGCTGAAAGAACGAATTAGCTATTTTTTGTTGTAAAGACTTGCCTTCTAGCAGTAGGCAAGATGTTCAACTGCTATATCTAACCACATGTTTGCATAGTAGAGAGATGTTGAAGCACACCTGGCAGCTTGCATTCAAGGAAAGTTGAATGTTTTAAAGCTGCAGTAGAGAAGTTACTTGTAATGCTGTAGTTCATTGTCATCCAAGGTGTTTTTTCAGACTTTTGTGTTATTTGAAGTAACTTCTAGCTTCATGCATGATGGTTACAAAGCTGTTTCTTGCAAATCTAACTAAGCAAAGTACCCAACAAGATGTAAGCAACGCTGTGACCCTTAATAATTTATATTTATGAATGCAGTATTGAGAATTCAAGCTGAATTCTGTACTGAGCTGTACTTCTTCCCTAATGGTTTCTACCGTAATTAGGCACTTAAAACTGGTGAAGAATCACCTCTTTCTAAACAGTTCAGAAACCAAAGCTTTTTGTTTAAAGCAGTAGTAGCAAAAAAAGAAGAGAGATAGGAAGGGCGTTTGAGATTCAATCCATAACGTGTGTTGAAGCTTATATGAAAATGCAGAAATGAGACCGTAGGAGGAATTTGAATAAGAGAGCCTTTCCAGATGGGTTTGAAGAGTGCTTTCTAGCTCTAATGGGATGTATTTCTTCTGCAGTATTCTCATGTTATGTTTTTTTTCCTAGAATGCCTAAGTCAAAGGAACTTGTGTCTTCAAGCTCGTCTGCCAGTGATTCAGATAGTGAAGTTGACAAAAAGGTGAACGTTATATGCAGTTGATTACTGTAATAACTACCTTTTTTCTTTCTTTCTCCCCCCCTGCCCACCCCCACCCCCGACTTGGATTAGGAAAGTAGATGTGCATTATGTCACAAGGTGCATGCTGTTCAATATGATTTATCAGACCTTCTAAAAAACTAAGATTAGGGACTTGGTAGATGAGATGCTTTTTGCTATGTGGTAGACTTTTTTTTTTTTTCTTAAGTTTGTTTTGACTACTTCAGGATTTTCCGTATGATATATCTAGCCACAAGCTTCCTGAAATTCTTTGCTGCTTTGTGGCAAGAGATAGAAGGCTTCTCTATAAGTTGCCCTTGCTGGCGAGAATTCAGACTAATTTTGAGGTCCCCTCATTTTAGTTTCTGGATTACTTAACCAAGCCCAAACCAAAAACCTCCACCTGCCTCGTTATCTGTATGCTACTTGCTTATCGTGTTTGCATGTTCTTTTTCTCTTTCAGATTCCTTTGTTTACTGTAATACCATCTGCTAGTTTCTCACTTACAGGCCAAACCAAGCAGAATGTCTTTAGGTTGATTAATTTTAGTGTTTACTGATAACTGGTTTTTAGATGCTGAAGCTGAGTGCTCCCAATTATTTTTAATAGCTATTTACTTTGTGTTTTTTATAGGTATACCAATCATGAACAAAAAACAAATACAAAACTATTTATCTTCTTAAGAAATACTATGTGGTAACATAGTCATCAGGTCTTTTATGTAGTATGTGAAGAGGCTCAGTCTGTACCTTTGCTGGACTGGTTGAAGTGTGGTTCAGATTCACTTATCAAATTAGGCATTATTTCATATTAAGATCTGACATAAAATGGTCAGGTAATGTTTTCTGGTAGGCAAGTGTATTCTCAAAGTCATAATCAAACAGTCTGCTTCAATGGGCAGTAAGTTTTTTTTGTTGTTGTTGTTTTTAATGGTAACCTCCTGTATTTCTTGCGAATCTTCCTGTATAGAAGCACCATATGTCTCTAGCAAGTGCAACTAATTTTTCATATCTGTATCACTGGTTTCCCAGGAAGCCCCAGCATGATTACTATGTAACTATTAGTAACATAGTAACTTTGTAGCATCTGCGAATAGAGTAATCTGATTCACAGGTGATATCATGTGAACAGTTTAAGAACGTTTCTATTTATCATGCCATGGTCTCAGTTAGACTGTGATGTAAAACCAAACATGCTCTTTTGATGGAGGTGATTTCCAGATCCTTTCTTCATTATCTCATCCTTTTTTTTTTTTCTTTTCTAGAAGAGTTGTTAGCTGTCATGTAATTTTGATGCACTCAGTGGAAAGGTGGCTGAAACTTTCATCAGACTTTCAATTTTTTATTACAAAGTCTAAACTGGCAGTATTACTGTGCAAAAAGAGTATGGTTTTTTAAATGTATTTTTGACCCAATTCATCTCCTTAGCGTCAAAGCATGATGGGAAACTTCACTGGGAACAGAATTAGGCTAATTTGGAGCATTAAAAAAAAAATTCTAGTGGAAGTGTACGGTATGGGAGACCTGCCTTCGTGGAAGGAAGGTGATAGTGTGTATTGCATGGTAGTAATTTGTAGCTTCTCACTTAAACTTATTTGTAACTAATGTTATGAGTTACAGTTTAAATACTTTTTTCTTCCCCCAAGGCAAAGCGGAAAAAGCAAGCAGCTCCAGAAAAGCCTGTAAAGAAACAGAAGACTGGTGAAAGTTCAAAAGGTGCAGCTTCTTCTAAGCAAAGCAGTAACAGAGACGAGAATATGTTTCAGGTAAAACTGACTGTTCTTTTAGAGCTTGGTTGAGATAGCATGTTACATCCTATTCTTTATAAATCTTTAAGAGGCGGTCTGAATATCTTGGTAGCGTAGTGTTTAGTCTCTCAAAGCCTTGACCGAAGAGGCTAGCATGTAGATGAGATGCTTAGAAAAAGCAATGTCAAGTTTCAGTAAAGTAAAAGAATCTGAGTTGTGGCAATTGATCTGGCCTCATGTCTTCGCTCATGGTAACTTTTTGGTTAGTCATTTTGTTTGTAAATACAGCACTGATGACTACATTGTAAGTATTAAATCAGGACCATCTCTGCATGGAAACGTTTTTTAATCAGGCCTTGTGGAAGAAACAGTCTCAGAAATCGAAGTATGGACTTCTCAATTCCTATTTAACTAGGTCAAGGGCAACTCTACTCTTTTATAAGATGGCATCTTGGATTAAGTTTTGCTTATTCCTTTGTTTTATGATGCAGGTCTTTCTCTCACTGAACATCTGAGAAGGCTGTAACTTTTAAACCATCCTTATTTTTAAGACGAGGAACAGATGATGTTTTTTTCAGTAGCAAGATGCACTTGTGAATTCAGGGTATTGTACTTGGTGCTAGCTGAGGCTGCAGCAGGGTGTGCTGAAAACTGAGAGCTCAGTTACCCGCTTAAGGGGCGGTGTTTGGGAGTCGGTCAGAGTTATTGAATGTCTGTATCTTCCTGGCTCAAAGGGGCAGGGGATAGGAAAGGAAAATTAAATTCTTAAATTCTTGGAGAGAATCTTCAGTTTGTGCAAGGGTATGGGAAAGATGCTTAATAAGATGGTCATAACACTGGGTAGTGCAGAAGAAATGCTTTTGGGGTGTAGCTGTGGAGATTAATGTGGCAAAAGTGCTTTGAAAAGGACCTCCTTGATTGACTGTTACAGAGGGCAGTTGTTTTTGGTGTATCGATCTTCACTTCCCACTTGAAGTGTACTTCAGAGGAGGGCTTAAATTGAAAGCACTGGGTATTAATGTCTGGAATTCCTTATCAAAGGAAGGATGTAATAACTTTAGTTGAGCTGGAGCATGCTTTGAACTGTGTAGGAAAAATGGAATTCTGTCTTAAAGAAGTGAACTGCAGTTAAAAATATGAAAAACTACATGTAGGATTGTGCTATGTTACTAATAAGTTCCAAAATTCCAGCCTTGATCAAAACAGTTAAATTTTTATGTCCTCCTGTTTCCAATAATTTTTTTAATAAAAGCAAAAGCATTTGTGTGTACTGTGTCCCACCCTCCCTGCCCCATGAAGCTTTTTTTACTTAAGTTGCTAAGAACAGTGGCTCCTATTAGTCTGATAAAAGGATTCTTCCAGTTTTGGATATAATACAGAAAAGGTAGTGTCATCTTGACTTAAACCATCGGTATTCCTTAGTCTCTGCCTACCCTTCAGTTACTCAACAGCAGATGTTTTTTAAATTGATTATTCCCTTATGTCAAGCACTAAGTGGTTTTTTTACATACGGTATCAACCTATGTGAATTACCTAATGTGCAACTGTTCAACAGCATTCAGACCTGAGGATACCCACCCTCCCTCCCTCCCTCCCCTCTGCCCAGCAGAGCATGCTGGAAGCTCTAGTTGTGTGTTAATTTAAGTACGATTTGGTTTCTTCTGGGACTATTTGCAGCCGCTTCCTGTTACTGTTTAGTAATACTAGAAACTCCTTCCTTTCTGCTTCCCCAGGTAGTAAAACGATCTCTCATGTGCAAGTGACTTTGCAGTATGACTTACAAATGTGGCCTGAATCGATAGAAATGGGGTTGTAAAGCATTCATAGGATGGTCAGCAGTTCTGTGACTTTGTGAGACAGTGTTAGCAAATGCTGAGAAACTATTGGTCGCTTAATGTTCCACATTTTCAGGCTTTGTTCTCAAAATATACAGCTGCCCTTAATATAGAACTCATTGTGAACAATGTATTCATAAGATCTTGCATTCCAGATCTAGGTTTTTCTATTTTTGTCTGAAATTAATGATGTAATACCATTCCTGGAACTAAATACGAAGAATAAAATGTAAATAGATGCTTCAGTGTAAAAGACCAAATATTTATTTATATATCTTGGTATTTTTAAACTGTATAGGTAGCCTAGTACACTTTGCAACTTGATAAAGGGATTCCGATATAATTGGGAAGGGGGTGGAAATTTACCTTACTCCCATTTGTGATATATTACTAGAGGTCCTGGACAAGTATAATTCATGCTGATGTGGAAGGATTTAGTGTTATGCGTTAGATTGCTGTGTATGATTTCAAGCCAACGTAAGCTCTCCATCATATGCTTCGGTTAGTTTAATAAATCCTGTCATCTACCTATGCCTGATTTGGACAATATTTGTTACTGCTGCTTGGGTACAGCATTAATGACCGTCCAGAGAGGAGCCACATGATGCAATCAAGTATTTGACAGAAACTTCTACTTTTTTTATACAAGTGCCCACTTATTTTTTTTTGGAGACTATAGGGTGCATTTGTGAGAAATAAGTTCTTTAGTTTTGCAGCGCAATGTCTCTAAATATCTCTCATAGGTTCCGGAAAGTGGATAAATGTATAGGCTATGACACTCGTAAGGTGATTGTGAAATAATGAATAGTGTTGAACTGATGACCACATAAGTTTCAGAATTAATGTGCTAAACCAAATTGATGTGTTGCATATTTCAGCTGTACATGAGACACTGTATTCTAGGAGTTTATATTAGCTTATTGTGCTCCTTTACATATTGTTATCAGCTACGAATAAGATGCTTTTTTGTTGTTTCTACTTCCACAGAGTGGATAGAGTTTAATCAAGGCAAACTAGAAATAGGAGGGAAAATTGTGAAGAAGATGCATGCTTAAACTTACGCAGGAAGTCAGTTGCGTAGCTGTGAAAGGAACCTAGACGCAGTTCAGTGAGTTTTACTCTAAGAAGTGGAAACCTGAAAATGTTTGTAATGTCCTCTGACTTACTACTTCAGTAGAATAGTGTATCTTCAACCTAAAGGGCTGTGATATTTAATAAAGAACATATGAACTTGGCTATGAAGATTATAGCAGTAACTACAGTGTTATAAATAAAGCGATATAATCCTTGGGACGCTACTGTGATTGTAGCAATGCAAAGGTGTCTTACACCAGTGAAGTTATTCTGGGAACATCAGCTGCTGTGTGAAAAAAGAATGGTTCAGAAATGATTCAATGCCAGCATTAAAGACAACTGAACTTTAAGAAACATCAAATATAGTTAATCTAGATTTTGATTCTGTCTTTTAGCCTTAGATGCTAATTAAAACTGTACCTCCGAAACCTGTTTAAAGCATTTAACAGTGACAACTATTTTGCGTAGAGTTCAACTAAACATTCTAAACTTAGTGTGAGCATTCAGCTGAAACGTAGACAGAGGTATGAAGCCTAAGTTTATTTCAGGCTTTTCATATAGAAATGTTGTAGTTAAGTAGATTTGCTGATTGAGTAGATAATGTGCACTTTGTATTCTTGCCCCTTGCCTTGCTGTAGTTAAATTAAGAGGGGTAGTCTCATCTTTAATGTTCAAGTCCTAAACCCTTTGACAGTATTTGTGTCACTAATCTGCGTTGTATCAGATTGTATTTCTTGGAACAAATTTGGAATTTCGACAGCGTGCTGATGTTCTTTGATAGAGCTGAGGAGCAAGGTATTTTGGAGAAATATATCACTAGAACCTGTTTTTTAAAACCTAAAAATCACTGAAGCATTGTAGTGTAAAACCAAGAATGTTGTTTATGCAAGTCACTTAGGATATCCTCTGCCAGCAGTGCTGACAAATTTGGGCATAGTAGCAAGTCAAGTTTGAAAGAGCTCAACTACTGTGACGTCATACCTTATTTTGGAATGCTGTGTTTGTAGTACTGTGAAAGTAATAAATCGCAAAATATTATCTCAGAAGATGTAACCTCTTATTCTTTTTAAAATATATACCTGGAAGCAGGAAAGAAGTGCTTCAGGCTTACAGTATCTAAAGGTGACCCAGCTGTTTTTAAATCAGTTCTGGAATTAATTCAGCACGATCTGTGTAAGGAAAAAAGACTTTAAGCAAACATCAAGCATGCTTGTTTATTCTGTGAGATAACAGCTTACTGCTTAAACCTCTGAATGATTTTAGTTGGTTGGAGAGTTTTTCATGCTTTCTGGTCAGACTTAATGCTGGTAAGATGTTTGTCCTTCTACTAAATTATGTGAAAGTGCAGACACTTTTTTTACATATGTTATGGCAATTGAAAGCTAAAACTAATGTTCTCTCAGGAAGGAATATCCTGTATTGAAATTGGTTACTCCAGAATGTCTGTTCTTTCTTCAGAGACTGTATACAGAATGTGCATATTGAGTTCTTAAATGTGTTGCCCGTGGTTCAGTGTGCTTTCATTATCTAATTTTTGATTCTTAAATTCACATTAGACTTTGATATCAAAAGAATTCACACTAAATCAAATTTATAAAGAGCTTTAATAGGCCTAAATATGCATTGCATAGTTATCCCCCCGCCCCCCCCCCAAGAGAAGGCCTCAGAATCCATAGTTCAGGCAAACTTACGAGGTATAGAAATTATGAGATTCTAATGTGATGTTTTAACCAAGACAATTTCATGGTATGTTACACGCTGGTAAACTTAAAGTATGTTCCTGGAACATCTGTTGCAGCAAGATATTCTTGCACCCATTGTACCAACAAAACGTCATGAGGACTCATAAGCAGGCATAGGACAGTTGATGTCTTTCTTTCACTTTCATTTGTATTTTTGGGGGGGGGGGGAGTAGGGGAAGGGATGGAGGGGAACTAAATAAATTGTACTTGTTATACATGGATATCTAATTTGATTTCTGTAGATAAGGAATGGACTAAAGCTTTGATTTGGGAATAGGGCTGTTGTTGCTTTCCATCTCATTTGCCAATGGCAAAAATTGTTAGGGGCAAAATTTTATTGCAGCAAGCAGTAGATTAGTGCCTTTTTATAAGAAACTAGCTTGTTAGGAAAATTATTTTTATTCTGACAGCCACTTTGCAGAAAAGAATATTCTCAGCTTGTTTTAAGTCCTTCATCCATTTATGTTGTCATTTCTTATTAGCCTACAAACTACTCTGGATTAGGCTCTTGAACTAGTTGTTTCTCTCGTGTCTAAAATTAGCTGCAGTGTGCAATGTCACATGTCCAAGTCTAGTACTGTTTGGAAAAGTGAATGCTGTATTATGTAAAATATCTAATAGATCTTTACATGTGTTTTGACAGATTGGCAAAATGAGGTATGTCAGTGTTCGTGACTTTAAAGGGAAAGTCTTAATTGATATTAGAGAATATTGGATGGATCAAGAAGGTGAAATGAAGCCTGGCAGAAAAGGTATTGTTTTGCTTTGTGTCTTCTTGTATTAAAATATCGTGTGCAGTTTATTGGAGAACCCAGTGTATCAGATTCTTATACTTTGTTGCTAAAATGTGTATTTTTAGAGTAATATCTTTACTTTTTTATTTAAAATGATGAGTCTTACCTGTAGTTTATAATCAAAAGCAAAGCAGTTTTGTTAACCTGAGTCTGTTTTCCAATTGCTTGCCTTACTGAGGTTTTTCCGAAATGTATCTTTCATGGTTTATGGAAAGTAAAGCCTCAGATGGAAGCAAATTCATTATGGGTGATATAAACATGGCTATTCTCCCCCCCCCCCCCCCCCCCTCACTTCTTATTTCAAAATTAATTGGAAAGATTAATTTTTAAGGTTATTAAGGTATAAAGAGAAGTTAATTTCTTTAGAACAATTATGTTCATCAGTTTCTGTCCAGCTTCAGATTAAAATAATTAGAACATCTAATGGTACCACTAACTTTGGGAAAAATGTTTTGAGACTTCAGCTGAGATAGAAATACCTTATGTATTTGAAGTTTAGTACTGTAATTCCAATCCATAGACGAGCATAAGCAATTGTACCCTTAACAGTTTTATTACGTACTTTTAGTGGCATGCCTTCACTGAACCATTTTCAGAATTTTTTGCCACCTGCAAGATGGGGGTGAGATAATAGTTGCAGTAGTAGTGCTTTCCTTAACATTGCATTGCTTTTGTTAGAAAAGCTTAATTTTTCAGACTTTTTTCATACTGCACTAAGGAAAGAGTTAAGTGTGGAACACTTTGTTCTGTAGCTTGGAGACATTTAGTATAGCATCAGCATGAGGTTTGTTATTACAGTCTTCTGGAGCGTCCAGCTGCAGCACTGTTAGTAGGAGCAACACAGTAGATGTTTGGAAAACCTAAAGTGTTTTCAAAATTAAATAACCACCGATAGTAGGTATGGGCAAATAGGATGCATGGATACCGTGTAGGAAAACCTCTTGTTCTGCATGTGTTGCTGCTATTCCACAAAAAAGATTACTCCAACTTTGAAAGACTTTAAACTGCTCTGTTGTGAGGGGGAGACCAAAAGTACATGCTGTTTCTTAAATAGGAAACCACAATGAGACTTGATGGGCAGGTGAAATGATAGTAATGCATACAAGTGACTGAAGACGAATTGAAGCTATTTTGTTGGCTGACAAGACTGTCCTGTGCTATTTATTCTTTTCATTTTTGGTAACTAATCTACAGATCAGTAGTTCAACAAACTCTGATCATGATGGAGATGGCTATCAATGTGGCAGAAGGATCTGAATTTTATCATGATAAAATCTGATACAGCGTAGGAATCTAATGTTTCATTCATGTACTTGTGAGCTGCTTATCTATCGTAAAAACAGTGCAAGAAGTTCAAGTTGCGAAATACTTTGCTTAAGCTTCACAAGATTAAAGTACAAGTTCTCTGTCCTCGGAATACAGATTAGAGTTGTAATGCCAGATTCTTTTAAACGGTTAGCAGGTCTAAACTCTGTGCAGTTCATCTGGCTTCATCATTGTGGTCGTGCTCTGATAAAGCAATGATAGTAAGAAGAAAAATAAAGTGATGAGCCCCAAAAATGGAGTTCAGTTTCACCTTTCTTAAGATCCTGTTTAACCTATAGGGAGAAAGCAAGGAAAGAAGCCTGATCGCTGCAGGGGTGGGGAATAGAGAAGAGCCTGGCTGGTATGAGGGGTAGGCCTGTGAGTCTGTACTAGTATAGAATTGGCACAGAGATTGTAGGGGAAGAGTGAGGAGACTAAAGCACAAAGGAAATATGGGCTTGGACTGGAGCTTGAGGATTTAGGAATTTGGAACTAAGGAGAAGGGGGAGGAAAGTATGTTAGATTTGTGATGAAGTTGGCTCAGGAAGTAGTGCTGGATCTTAGGACTCAAGCACAAGCATAATTTCACTCCTGGATGAGGAGGACTGTGGAACTAGCTAAGTGATTGAGGGGCAGCTGGGAAAAGATCCTGGGGGATTTTGTTGGAAGACTTCTCTGACATAAGGTGTCTTGTGCAGAAAATTTTTGTGCAAGTGTGAGTCATGCTGAGCAATAATAGAGAGGCCTGATAGCGTGGTGTATTTTTGGCAAAGGACTAAGCCATGTGAGGCTAGGGTGAAATTAAGCTGGACACCAGGGAAATATCTTCCATTCCTGTGCTCTTGCACAGGAGACTGAGAACTGGTGTTAGGCTAGGATAGAAATTATGTAGCAGAATTCATCCCCTGCTCTTGTGGCTTTTGTGTCTCCTGCTTCTTTCCGAGCTGACCTCAAGCTTTTACAGGGCCGATGGGAAGTGGTGATTGTTGTATTACATGGAAGCAAAGACTTGTACAAGTTGAGAGTGGATATGTTTCTGTTGTCTTTGACAAAATCAGAAATAGCATATGCTGCTGTTAAAACTTAGAGGAAAATAGGGATGTGCATTAGAAAGAAAGGGAAATTGGGAATTTAAACCACTGGACTCATTTTCTCTTTTGTATTGTCAATCCAAAAGACCCACTAATTTTGAAGCATACAAACAAAGTGAATGCTGCTGTGCCATGGACATCTTTGAACAAAACTCGCCTGTTATGGCTACTGTGGAGGTGGCAGATCTAGGAAAGCAATGAAGCAAGATGTTTGCTGCTGAACTCAGCTGAACTGAATCTATGATGTGACTAAAATGACTGGACAGTCAGGATGACTTGGAAACTTTTCTTGGAAATGGGGGTGGAATGGGAAAAACTCAATATGAAAATGTTTACTCATTTTACGTTGATTTTTGCTGACTTGAATAAGTGAGCAAAATAAGGGTAAAGACAGAAACGTTCCTTGGCTACCTGAATTTTGCTCAGTGAAGACTATAGAACTAACATTTTTCATTGCTTTTCTTATTTAAATGCAGTTTACTAAAAATATGAAGAAAATACAAAGGCAGGGTCAAGGAGTAATGCAATGGTTTTCATGTTTTTCTGTAGTTCTAGGCTAAGATTTAAAAAAGCTAAAGGAAATTAGCCACTCAAATTTAAAAAGTAGAAGACTATTATCCTAAATTTCTTGTGACTTTTAAGCAAGGAAACTTACTGCAGAGGCTTAATGCTACCTGTTATAGCTGGCATTCTTTTATGGCACATTTTAGTAAATTAAGGATTCTTTACGTGGAAGGCAGTATGCAAACCTGGTGTAACAGGATACTTTAACATCAAGACAATGAAAAGACTTTTCCTGCATTCTTTTCCCACTATATGATTAGCACAACAGCAGTTATAGGGGAAGACCAGCATAATATTTGAAGAATGCTGGGTTTTCAAGACCTTGATTGTAAATTTTTTTTCAGCACTCTGGATGACTATTTGACTGAACTTCAGTGTTTGTACATTGAATTTCACAAGAAATTGTAGAGTGGACTTGTAGTAAAAAAAACAAACTTCTGTGTTACTTTGTGAGTTTTTGGGAATGGAATTGCGAGACTATCTCCAAGATGCTGCATATAGTATGAGTTATTTAAAACTGTGCTTTAAGGAAAAAAAACACAGTTATAGTACTTTGCAGATACATAGGGGTTCAGTCCACAGAGCTGTGGCTTTTAACAGCCAACAGAAATAGGGTTGGGTTTCTACATCTCACCTAGGGCTTTTGTGCTGCTTCCTATCAGGGCCAGAACTATATTTAATTTCCTGTGTTCAGAATAACAATTTGTTGTATTGTACTTGTCACCTTTGTAAGTTAAACTTATCCAGTGGCAAACTAAGGAGTAAAGCTAAACCGAAGTGCTCAAAGTGAGTAGTTAGGTTACTAACTCTGTAATTAAATGAGATTAGCTATTACACTTAAAGCAGCTGAAACATTAATAGTTACGACATCTTTGTGACAGTCTTTGAGTATGGAATTGGTCTTAATAGTAAGTATGCAAGATCCTGAGCTTCAGTTTTTTTGTACTAAGTGTTTGTTTTTAATGCATTTCAGGTATTTCTTTAAATCCAGAACAGTGGAACCAGCTGAAAGAACAGATTTCTGATATTGATGATGCAGTAAGAAAACTGTAAAGACAGCCATACAGAAACCTTTATCATTTTAGTTGTTTTAAGCAGTCTTTTTACATTGGCTTTTGTTTTCTAAAATATTGTTTTCCAAGCTATTGTATATTTGGATTGCAAAACAATTTGTAAGATGAATACTTTTTTTATGTGCATTAAAAGTGTATTCTGAGTGAGGCTATTTGTGTATACTTTACTAAAAGGCAAATGTGTTGCTTCCACCTCATGGTGTAAAATAAACAAATCAATAATATGTAAAGCATAGCTGTTTATGGCCTTTTGATTGAAGATGTTTGCTGAGAAGGCCACCTGATCTTTGTTTTGGTTTCAGTTTAGTTAACAGTTCATATGAATTCTTTTTCTGAAGAGATTCTTAAAATGTCTCCGTTTTTTCCTTTACTTCATACTCTTTGTTATTTCTCCAGAAGTTCTTTTCTTTAAGACTTGATACAAACAGTGGATACCTAGTAAAACACATTTTTGTAGATAACTTTAAATACTGTATTTGCTAATTTACCCTATTTATTCAGATGTAAACAGTCCTGAGTATATAGACTTTTTTGCATTATTTGCATGAAATATTATGATGCGCAGTAACACTTGAACACAAGCCACATGCTGTTCCTTCCTATTTTTTTATAGCTTGCTTGACTTAGAAAATACAATTAGCCTTTATTCTTGGACACTAGATTTTAGAATGTGATACATAAACTTTTTCAGTAATGGACATATACCTCAGAGTAAGATAGAATTTAAAAGCTCCCAACTTGGTGGTTATTTGGGCAACCTGTCCAAGCTTTGCATTAAATACTTTCTTGAACATGTACTGACTAGTTATTCTATAGACAAGAACACTTATCCTGCCTTTGTAGGGCTTTTGTTCATATTTGAAAGTATTGTATAAACAAAGATGTTTCAACTAGGCTGTAACACAGGTTAAACAGTCAAACAGGGTTAAAATTGCTTCAGCCAAAATGGCTGGCTAACAAGCTTCTGCCCTATCCTTACTGCCTGCTCAAACCATTTACCTTTGCTTGCCTTGTGTGGCTTACATGCCCATAACTGTTTTATCTTTTGTACAGAACATATTTAGCGCTTACAGTGAAGCGCTGGTACGTAGCGGATCACGGTTCTAGTGAACTTCACTTGTCTGTCAGTGTGCTGTTCTGGTAAGAAAAAAGCTTGTCTTCAGTGGAAGCTGCGTTAAAACTAAACACTCTCCCAACTCAAGGAAATCTTGGTGGGTGTCATGAGACAAATGAAGGGAAAACGCTATGTTTGAGTAGCATTTGGAGAGATAATGGGACTCCAGTGCAGAAACTAAAGGTGAAAGATCAAAGTTAGCTGACAGTAACTACAGTGAAGAAACTTGTTAGTGGAACTGGAGAAGAGTTCACTTTCTGACTTAATTCAGTTAATCGAAGGAAAGAAGATGAAACGGCTTCATGAAAATTGACATTTCAAGACCATATAGTGAATGTACAATCTGTTGGTTCTGCTGTAATTTTCCCATTTGATGTTAAACTTAGTGTATTTTTAAAATTTTGTATAGATAAACTGGATTTGCTTTTTGTTTAATTTTGGAATATCTTAATATAATTGTTTATATTGCAGATGTGCATGGAAGTCCTGTTCTGCTAAGTGCCATACACAGACTGTTCCTGTGCTGCAGAGTTTATAATTCAATACAAATGGTATATGAAGCGTGAGGAAAGGAGACTTCATCAAATCAAATAAAATTGTTAATTTAACGGATATGTCGGATATCTCCTCCTGCTTTTTAGCTTACCCACTGAGAAATTTCAAATAAAGTTAAGATTTGGTTTTGTATAACTCAGGAAATCTTGAGTTTTTAAGAATTGTTTGAGGGTGAGTAAAAGGGTGAAGAGAGATTTCATGGTAGCAGCTGCATTTTGGGCACCTCTTTTTGAATGACTCTGACTTGTAGGGATATGTGGACCAAATAGAATAAATATGTAGTCTGCTAAAACATCACAGATGAGTGAATGGAAAAAGTCACTTCAGATCATTATTGACCAGCTCTAGGTGGTTTTTTTTTGTTGTTTGCAGTATGTACGTATGAAAGTTTATTCCTTTAAATCTGGAATTTTGTAACTAATTTTCATATATTTTTACCTCAGCTTTTGTGTGTCTACTTAAAAGTGCATGATTATCATAGAGGGAACATTGTCCTCACTTATGTTACTGTTGTATTAGGTCATTGGATGGCAGTTGTGAATCAGAGTATGATATAATTGTGTTCAAGAAGGTGGAGAGTTAAATTCACTCTTTTCGAGGGAATAAGTGAAAGTTTTAATATAGTGATTAGTTCTGTTGTGGAAACTGATGGTAGAGATGTTCAAAGAAATAAGTATTTGTTAACCGAGAACTATTAGTTCCTTTTTTAGATAAATGCCTTGCTGAATTTTGGTGGTGATGAGCTGTTCATCCCATATTCCTTGATACTTGATAAAATTTGGGGCAGTTTGTTTTTTACTTTAGCTTGTGTGTTTAGAAATAGTTTTTCATCTGCCAGTTATACTTCTGCCTGTAATGATAAAATGTCAAATGTTTTACTTGAGCCAGTCTTCTCAACATCTGCATGAATGTCCAACAAAAAAGGTAACTAAACCAGTCAGTTTCCCAAATGAACTTAAAATGGGACATGCTGAATTGTAAGGGAATTCACTGAGCATCAGGTGACCGATGCTTGCTATGAATTTGACACATCCAATGTTATTTTGATATAAATGATTGGTTTTGATTTGTCCTACAAGTATTGTCTATGGCTGTAGTTTTCTAATTTGAGAAGAAAATTCAAAATTTTTGAATAAAGAATATTTTCTTGCAGACAAAATAGTAGTTAGGATGCATACAGAAGTGTCAATGGAAAAATTGTGCATGTATAAAAAAGACATGTAATACAAGATAAAAATAAACACTATTCCCTTTTCCCACGGAAGTGGCTGAAGACAGATGCATTTGATTATTGATATTTATGCAGGGCATATTAGCAATATGTTTTGTAAGTTAAACCTACTCTAGAGCTTAGGAGGGGGGGAAAAAGGCATCACAGTTAGAGCTGCCAAAGTACCATATGTGTGCTAAATCAAACTGTCATGTACAATGTTGCTCTTATGTACAGGCATCCATATTGAAATTAAACAAATGTGGTACTTAGTTTGATATTTCTGTTGGAGGAAATGCCCCATTTGCATACTTTTTATGTGATCTGTTAGCAAAAAAAACCTGGTAATTGTAATTTTGGTAACTCAAATGTCATGTTAACCGTGTGGAATGTTGAATGTTTTGTTCTGGTGGTGTCTTCTGCAGAGAGGCCACTGGAAATATGAACCCTCCAACTGTAATTATCTTAATGTTCAAATAAAAATAAATGATGTATGTGTAATACTAGTTTGAACACCTGGAAATAAATTAAGACTTCTGTTGGCATAGTGTTATTTTTAATAAGAATTTATCTGCACTAAAACTTGATTGTTCTTAAGTTGTTGTGAAAACTGCTATTTATTTCTTGACTGTTGTAATTTGAAAATTTGAACACTTTGTTTTATTTGGCCCATGTTTGGGGGTGGGTGGTTTGTGTAGCCCAGCGGGCTAGAAGTTTTTCCTTATAATAGAAGTGCAAGTATGCTGTAAATACAGAAGTCGCAGATACAACGCTGTTTCAAACACCAAACAAAGTGCATGAAAAGTCACTGCTGTTAAGAAAATGGAAGACTATCTTTTCAGTTGGGTTTTTTATCTGATAATATAAATTAACGGTAGATTGCATAGGAGGAGGAAAAAAACCTCATCTGTTTGTTTATTGCTAGTCATAATTAGATTAGTGAGGCTTCTTTAGGAAAGAAGTTTTTCGCATGCTTGTTATGAAGCAATCTGTAGGGAGTGAACTGATTGATTGCAGCCTTGAGCCATACAGCTTTTTCTTTAAGTAATCCTGATTCTGTTTTTATGCCTATATAAAGTGATAAACCGAAAGTAAGTGTGTTTCAAAGGGAATAAATGCAGTCTAGGGTTGATGAAGGATGCTTGATCTCATCATGTTGTCCTTAGTTTACGTTACTACCTTCCACTTGATGATAGGATTCATCTTTGGCTGTAGCTCCAGTGACTGTGGAAAAGCAGTCTGATGGGCAAATGAATTTTCTGCTGTGAATTGACCCTTTTGCCTGCTACTCTCAGCTTAATAGTCTTATGCAAAAGCATGAAGACACCGACCTAAAAACTGGAATTGTGCTTGGCTTGGTGGTTGAGGGAAGCTTAAATAACACTGTATTGTGAGGAAAGGGATACACCATTGGACTTGGTGATTATTATAAGCGCAGGTGTTCCCTGGTACGGTAGTTCAATGAACAAAACTGCTTAAACCAGAAGTTATTTTTATAAGATCTACCTAATTCAGAGTTAATCATGTTTGTTTTCACTTCCTTCTAGCTTTGAATGAATGTATCCTTGTGATCATTGGTGGGATGGAGAAAGAGGTAGGAAGTATGAGGTCGAACTGAAGAGTCAAATTTTAAAAGCATTTTTGTCCTTTTAAAGTAGGTAGGCTCTCCATAATCCTGCAAGGGAATAGGTTGCGGTAAAAATGAAAAAGTTGTTGGAATGAACAGATTATATTCTTGGAGATCTCAAGGTGGTTTTGATATCTTAAGGCTAAATAAGAAAAACATTTTATGCTTCCATGGTGAGCATGCCTGGTAGACTACTGTTGGATATTCAGTTCAATAGAGCAGAAGTAATGAGGTGAAAGCTGCTGAAGTAAAGAAATAGTAAGACTCTATATAACATTGTTACTTGTGTTGCATAAAGAATAGCTATCTAAAGAACACGGTCTCACAGATTACAAATTTAAATGTTTAGGCTAACGTATGAAGAATAATTTTCAGGTTATGGAAAAATAAAGCTAATTTCATCTTAGGAAAAAGACCTGAGTTGTTCTCACTAAAATATCACACAAGTTATTTTATTAGAGGGAGGTGAAAATGACATTGGATATTAAGAGCAAACTAGAGATTGGAGTGACCCTAACAAGTAACTTCTTTAAATTAAAACTTGCCTGGTATACAGCAATTGAACTTTGCAATTGTTCATGGTGCTGATTTCGCATAATCCTTGAAGACTTTTATTAGCTATCTCAATGTGAAATGCCTTTACAGAGTCTGCTCTATCTTCTGGTTTTTGTTATTTGCTGTTAATTAACTGAGACCTGACTGAACAGCTCCCTTTACGTTCCCTGCCTTATTCCCCATATAAGGACTGAAAGCTTCTTTCTATGCTTTGAAACATTTAAGCATCTTTGGTTACTGTCACATAATCACAAAGCAGAGAAATCACAGCAGTGTATAGCTGCTATTGTTACCACAGGCCAGCTAATGGTTAATTAAATATGTTAATTTTTTAAGCATTGTGACAAAGTATACTTAAACTAGTGGGATTACTCTTGCCAAACGGAGTCATTGGAGACATACATGCATACTTCCCAGAGGAAATAGTTTTCTTCATAGTGGTTTTGATTATCGTCTATAGTGAAGTACTGGACAAATGCTTTTTTCCCCGAAAGTAAATACTAACAACTTGGAAAATGCTACAATGAGGCACTTCCTGTGGGGAAAATAATCTTCTGGATATCTCCTTGTTGTAAGTGAGCGTTTGTAATTGCAAACTCAGATGTTTTGATTAACGGAAAGAAAATTCAGTTGCTTGGATAGCCTGAAAGAAGATCCTAGGGTGCTGTAGTACCATGTGGAAATGAGTAGCACTTTACAATGCAAATAAAGGCTACCCTCTTGTGCGTTCAGAGAAACCTTTGAACAATATTAATTCACTATATGCTTGTCCCTGCATATGTCCTCTTTTGCATGACTTGTGACTTTTTAAAAGAGATTTGTCACCATATGTTCTGGAGTCCTGTTTTAAGTGCTAGGAGAACTAGTCCTTATCCAGTCTCTGAGGGTCATTCTGAGACAGCTGTGGGGAAAGTGAGTATCTTTTCTTTCTCTTTCTGGCACAGCATCTATTATGTTACTATTCCACAAGAATGTGCCTATTTTTCTGTCAGAACAAGTTGCAGTAACCTGTGGAAAACGTGGTTTCTCTCTTAAAAATATTTAGGGATGCTTAATTTTTGTAGAGAGATTATCTAGCTCTTCTCCCCACTGCTGCTATAAATGTGTTTATACCTTAATATTTTAATTTTGTTTCACTGGTTTGCAGAAAACTGAAAAATGTTTTCAGTGATCACTAAAGGGTTTTTGCAGCTCCTAATTTTTAGCACACACTGGTCCCAGTCTTTAAAGAGGACTTGTAAAAGTCAGGCTGGATGCATTTTTTTTTACTGGATTTTGTTAGGTTCCTAGATTGTTACCTTGATGGGAGCATTCACGTTGCAGTCTGAGCACCTGCTGAAAGGAAATAGAAATGTTTGAGACTGTAAAACTGTAAGCTTCATATCCCTTGTTAAAAGACGAGGAGGAGAGGGAAATGTGCAGCTAATGAAGTACGGTATTTTCTCAGCTTTTTCAGGATGCATTCCAGAAACAATATTTTTTCCGTTTGCAGGGAAAAGCTAAAACTAAAACTTTTTAAAAATGCTAAATTGAAATTTGGAACTGCTTTTGTTCAAGTATGAGTTCCTCAGACCTGCGGTGTTATGCAGTATTTTTGGAAAAGTTATAACGATGGAATTAAACGCTTTCTACATAAACAGTGTTTAGAACCACCAACTTGAGGCTAATCTGTAACAGTGTGATTTTAAAGGGTTTTTACTTGTACTCTTGATAGTTTGAAGCTTTTACGTTGACTCGAGTAGGTAAATTATCTATAAAGCCATGTGATAATTTGCAGCCTTGTACAGATGAAGGTTGCATCCTTGGTTGAAGGAAGAGGCCTGTTATTTCTTTATATGGAAGTTCTTGGGCAAAGAGGACGTGTACCTTGTGCAATGAGTTTGATCTGCTTTAGGTCAGTGTTGCCTCTACACCTTGGCATTAGCAGTATGCTGTGTTAATGCAAGGCACAGCTGAGTTTCTTTTTTCGGTGTGTCTGTTCTGCTGAAGCCAAACTTGGATGGATATTTAACTTCTCTTTTTAATAAAATACTCAATTTTGCATATTTTTGTCATCAAGATGATTAAGATTAGCACATAGTCAAGAGATTTAAAACTTAATTTAGATAACTTGCCAGTCCTGTTTTGCATTGGATTATACTTCTGCTCTTTGGTAGATTGCTATGTATACTTCTATAGGCATTGTTTGTTCAGTATTTAGAATGGGAGTTAATGGTGCGAGGTTAGGTAATACTGTTCTGTTGCCAAACAGATCTTTCCATTGTGGAACTATTGAATGCAAGGTATATGGAAGGGTCCTGTGTAATTAAGTGTAATAAAAGAATTCAAATTGCCTTTCATGTTTAAGATGTACAAGACTTGAATTGAAAAGCTTGTTCTGTGTAAAGCTCTTTGAAACATCAAATAACACTATGTAAGATTTACCAAGAGATCGTCAAAGAGGTGATTTTTTTTTTTTTCCGGGTAAACCTCAATGGTTACTTCTCAATGATTGTTATATTTTCTCTAATAAATACCCATATAAATCTCTATATAAAATAAGTGACTATTGACTGCAAGTTTTGTGTTGACAATAATACCTAAGTAATAATTCAATAGATTAGTACAGCGTGTGTTGCAACTGTAAGTTTGTGAATGGTACTAAGCCTCAATCTATGTACTTGAATTTCCTGGATGTTATAGAGTAAAATGATCACTGCAAATCTTTGTAGAAGAACTGAAAATCTCCATGTGTGGCCCATGATAACACTGTGTCATGGGGTTGGAATGCTAGATGTTTGCTATGGTTCCCCCTTCTGAAGGTATTTCTGAACTTCCCAGATACTTTTTGTACTTTTGTCTTCAGGGGTCAACTTCCATGTTTTCTACAGGATCATCTTATGAGATGTATAAGGCCTAAAGTTAGCCCGGAGAGCATATTAGGTTATCATGGCAAATACAGTTTTGAATACTTGCTTGAAAACCTACTATGTTATGTAGTGCTGGGTGCCATGAGTACAGAGTCTTTGAGGCGGTTGCAGCACTTAGAAATGAATCATCTGTTACGTAGAGAGTTTTCCTTTACTTCTTGAGACATGAACGTTCAGTCAATGCTTTGACTTTGGGACAAGGATTTTAGTCATTGTTTTAAAAATAATAGGAGTGCAAACAGCTGCTAAATGGAAAGCGCTGTCTTAGAAAACATCCTCTTACTGTGTTAATGATGGGACAGGGGATATTGGAAAGCAATTGTCTTCAGCCCTCAGGAAAAATGTTCCTATATCAATTCCATTTGATAAATCAATTGGCCAGTGTTGTGCTGATATATTTTTGTCTTGCTATGACTGTTTTGAGCTGGATGTTCAGACAAGATAGTGTTAAT